GTTGTGTATGTGTGGATGTTGGTGGGTGAACTGGAAGACAACAACACAGGAGACAGACTGGCCCTCGTGGGTTTGGTATTACGATAATAATTTATTTTTTAAAGATAAAAAACAAACATACTCTAATCTTTAAAAATGCTTTTATTTTTTAAAGCGTTTTAAAAGTGTATTTGACTTAAAAGATATTAAATTTACATTTTTTAAGTACTTTTTAATATAATTTTAACGCCCTAGTATTACAAATAATTATTTTAACACATTTTCAATCAAAATTATCAAAAACAAAACCATTAAAATACGTACCTAACATAATAAATTATGAATATTTTTTAACTTACACGTTAAGAGTGGTAGAAGCTATAGATCATAGCGATACCCCCTTGGAAAGCTAGAATATTATTAGAAGATGCATGAAAATGGAAACACGAAACCAATCCTGATTGATTTATATAGCAATGTCACGATCCAGATATTTTAGGGACTGCAATGTCTTGTAGAGGCTTCTGGGATTTCGAGGACATGGATGCGTTTCTCAATTTGGTCAAGAAGCAAAAACATAATTATTAATCTTCAATGACGTGAAACCAACCCCCCTCTCTTCACATAATTATTAATGTTCAATAGAACACTCACCGGAATTGCTTGGTATGTGGCAGCTTTTGCTTCTTATCCTTGCTTCCCTCTTCAACATCATCAATGTTGTAAAGAAGCGACACATCTGAAGGTAATTCCATGTGCCTTTTTCTCCAAGCACTCACAAAAACAGTGGCTATCTGTGTCAGTGGACTACCCGCCAGTTTCCTGAACCGGTACCGCCTTGTGCCAGAAAGGAACACAATTAGGCCTAGCACAATAGCACAGGCACATATGCCATATCCCCATTCTCTCCCCAAATTATCTTGTATGTAAACCAGAACTGTCACTGCACAAAGTGCACCTATGTTGATGAGAAAGAAGAACCAATTAAAGAAATTGAGCATCTGTTTTCGTTCTTTTGGGTCCGCTTCATCGAATTGATCAGAGCCAAATCCTGAGACGCTTGATTTTAGACCTCCAGTGCCGAGGGCAGTGAGGTACAGGGCCAAATAAAGAACCGTGAGTTGTTCTCCGTTAGCAGGGATGCAACCTGTGCTGTCCACACATTTTGGTGGCCTGAGGCTTGGGACTACGGTGGAGATAGTCAAGATTGTGACACCCTGATCAACAAAAATTAATAAGAAAAATGAAACAAGTGAAGTAATATAGTAGGAACCAAATAAAAAAAAGGTCCATAACCTCTTACGACCAAGAAGACAGATTTATAATAAAATATTGAAATAATTTACTCAAAAGGAAATATGAAGAGAAATCAGCTAGCTAATTAACGCGCAACAACAAACTTCGGGTGCAGGAAAAAAAAATTAAAGGCGAAGCCAGTGCCCTGCGGAGCAGGGCAAGTACTCTACATGTGTATATATAGCTGTGTATCGGCAAGGGAACTTCAATTTCTTACAATTAACACAAAGTTCCCTGGCCACTGATGGATCGTTAGAAAAAATGGTTCGATTAATGGCAAGTGCGATGGCCTTACCGTTGCTTGCACGGTGGCGAAGATGGCGATGGTGAGATACCTGTCATGAAACAAAGGGAAGGGTTAAGAAATCAGAAAGCCGAAAGCAGACACTAATCCTGAATTTAGAAACAAATATAGCACAAAATAAATAAAGACCGAAAGTGCAAAAAACTCGCTAAACCTTCCAAGAAAGGTGTCAGCAATAAAACCACCAAGCAGACAAAGCATGAAAGATGTTCCAAGGAAGTTTGTGACAGTGTTGGCAGAGGTAGCATTGCCCAGGTGCATGGTACCAGTCAGATACGTCACCAGATTAACAGCAATACCAAGTGTTGTTAGTCTCTCCATTGCCTCTCCACCTGATAAAACCCAGAACAGGAGAGTGAGAGATCAGATGGAGAAGCATATACAGATAAGTAAGATATAAATATCATAGAAAATGAAAGAGAGCTGTAACCTAGAACCATGGCAGCACTGGTCCAGCCGCCAGTTTTGGACCGCTCCGCAGGGCGGCCCTTATAGTCCCAGGCATCTGGGAGGGTCGTGACTTGTGTTTCTGGAAGAGACATAGCTTTGATTTTAATTTTGGATCGAAGCGTAAGAACAAGAAGTACGAGAGACTAGGAAAGAAGAAAGTATGTGACACATTGAATGCTTTGGAACTGCCCCTTTTTATAGGGGATTTAAGGGGATCTAATAATGTTAAAAATGAACACGAAGGTAGTTGGATAAAGTGAAACGTGTCATCTCATGTTCAATGAAAATTTATTTAGTAGTTCACTGTAGACTCCACTTGCTACTTCTTGTTTATGTCCCAATACACACACACACACACACACACACGGCAATATTATTTTTATGAATATTGATTTGATTCGGGCACTGTTTGTTTTTAAATTTTTAAAAGTATCTTGAAAAAAATTTAAAATATTATTTTTTAATATTTTTAGATTATTTAAATATATTAATGTTAAAAATAATTTAAAAAAATAAAAAATTATTTTGATACATTTCTAATTAAAAAACACTTTGAAAAATAACCAACTCCCAAACAAACCTATAAATAAGTATTTTTTGAAATTAAAAGATAATAAATAAGATATAAAAATTACTTGAAATTAATCTCAAATATATATTTATATTATATAAATATATTTATAAAATATTTGGATTTTTTAACATATATACATGCTTTAATATTAGCATAAAAATAAAAATAATATTTATCATTTTATTATTTAATATATATATA